AGTGACAAGTTCCCTTCACCCAGTCCAGGCCCCCTCTTATTGTGTACTTGTCGATCCTGATACAAGGACTCGAAACCCCCTAGATCCTACCTTTTGCCCAATTAGGAAAAGGCTTCGATGTTCTGAGGGTTTTGTCTCCCTCGTCCCCAGCCAGTAAGGCCAGACGGTAGTCGCGTGGTCTGCCGTGTAGGTGCCACACCCCTGGTGGCGATCAATCCTAAAATATCCGCTTCATTAATTTCAAACAGGGCAACTGCCCAGTTACTCGCATCTTATGAGTCGGATTAGACTTCGGCTGCTCGCTGCTCAGCAGTCGAGTAGCCCACGTCGACCTATGGTTCTCCACACCAAAAGATGATGATGCTCTTGGCAAGCTTTACGCGCAGTGGTATCTTGGAGATGTCGATGCCCCGTTTCTTTGGGTTCCGTACGGCTATTTCCCAGTTCCTTAACGGCGTGGCATATTACCGCTCACGATCCACGGGGACGTGTCCACACTCCGTAGGCGAGCAGGGAAGGATCGAAGCTCATCCGAAGCGCTGCTGTGCCGGAATGCCAACATGCTACGGAAACGCTGAAGGCTATTCTCGAAAGTCTTGTCGGTCTAGCAAGGTTGTCTTGTGGATAATATCACTTATTTTCTACTTTGTACATGTGGGATTAAACAATAAAACTTCATCGTACTCTCCTCCCTCTAGCAAAGGGTTCTTTTCATCCCAACTTTATTCCTCGTCATCCCCAATCTTGTCGATTGGTGTTCAGGATCCCACGTCCATCTCACCCTCTCACCTCTCTCCCCCTACTCTTCGCTACCCCTTTCCTTCGTTTCCTTTACTTTGCTCACACCTCAGGCTGATTCTCGTTTTTACCTCTCTTCATTTTACACCATTTTGTTGTTTTGTCGTTGTTTTCATCCTGCTCATCTCCTCCGCCATCCTTTACTCGGCGTATTCTACGAGACCAATTTCCTTTCATTCCTCTTTTTATTAATACAACATATCGATGCTTAGAGAGACTCGCAGCCGAGATCCACGATCCCGCCAATCATCTCCTCTATTCTGGGGTTAAAACTGAATTGGAGCGCCGACTGCTTCTCCTTCTCTCTCCTCGCCGAACGCTCGAGATCCCTCCACCCTTGCAAACGTTGCATTGGGGTGATCACCCATCACCGTCACCATGTTCAAGCTAGTGACACGGTCAAAATCCCTGAGGAACATGCGGGCGATGGCAGGTTCTGGCGCTGGTGCGGACAGGGCCCGGGATGCCGCTGGTCCAGGGAAGCACGGCCCCAAGTCTCCTCCCACCCTCGGACAGAAAGAGCCAGGTCCTGTATCAGATTCACCCCAGACACCACCCACCACGAAACCAGTAAACGACTCTTTCCTCACTGCGACTCCTCCTTCGTCGTCCTCCTCTCCCGAATCTGCCGCCGCCGCAGCCACAGCAGCCCTCACGACGGCTATTTACTCCCCCTCAGGAACCGACGACAACTCGAATGCCTACGTTCGTCGTCCTTTGCCTCAACCGCCCTCTCGCTCGTCTGGTAATAAGGAAGGAAGTCAAAACAAACCACCAGCGGCAGCGGTATTAGCAGCCCCCGCCGCCGAACGACCTAACACAAGTGCGGGGCCCGGCACCGGCTCGTCTAGCATGCTTCTGGACGGAAGTTCCACTAATAGTACGAGGTCAAAAACCATGGCCGGAAAGAGGGTGTCGAGAGACGACATGTATATAAATACGCAGTCTAGGTCCTTTAGATCCTACCATATTCCCATCCGAGGGAAGCCACCATCACCGATTGGCAGTCCGAAGTCAAGATCCCCCGACGCTACTACCATTCCGGTGAGAACCCAGACGCCCGACTCCATGGATGAACTCAACCCTTCCGCGCCGATTGGCATGGCGCTCGGAAGCCCAGGCATCACCCGTCCATCCGGCGTGGCGGCGTCTTCTTCTTCAACTTATGCCTTCTGGCAACCCCAGCTCCCCGGCGCGACTGGAACTCCTGACAGTACCGCCCCTCTGGCGCCTTGGGATGAGCCGACGGAAACGACGCAGACTAAGAAATCCGGGAAATGGAGGTTATTTGGCCGTCGTGGGACCAAGAAGAATTCGGAAACTAAAGAGCTGGAAAAGGCGGCCACTCCCGACATCCTGCTCAACTCACCAATAGTGCTGCCAGAGTCTCGACCCAAAACGTCGAGCGGAGAAAAGAAGACCTCCGACTTTGGCAGGAGTAACACGACGGCGGGGAGGAAAGCGATCAATATTAAGCCCATCATTATTCGGTCACAGACCGAACCCGTCGTCGAGACGCCGACGACGAGTGTGCCCATGGAACCAAAGACGCCGAAAACCCCCAAGACTCCAAAGACTCCTAAGGCTCCCAAGACGCCCTTGTTGTCACGCAAAGCGTCATCCAAATCAATCCGCGATGGCATCAAGAAATCCGATATTTCCGCACCCATGCCCATCATCGCACCACCTGTGCCACCTATCCCTACCGGCAAGGGCTTCCTCGATGTGGAGATTCCCGACGTCAGGATGGAGCGGTACAGCGTCATGTTTGGCGGGATCCTGCATCCCGACAGACCGCAGGCGCCCTCCCGAAATAGCATTTTTGCGCGGCGCCAAGCCACGTTGAAGCGCCTCCAGCTCATCCAGGATGCCATCATCATTGAAGAGGAGGCACGCGCTAGGGGAGAACCTATCCCGGCTGCGGTCGCTGCACTTGCGAAGTCGAGCATGGCGGCCTCGAAAGATGCCCCTGCTCCATCGACCACTACTACCGGCGCGGCTGCAATGACTGAGACGATGGCGGCAGCGATGACGACAACGACGGTAACTACTGATGTTGCCTCCGCTACTACTGCCGCCCCAACGCCGTCATACCAGGCTCATAGGAACTCTCCCTCATTTTCTCTTTTCCCAGCCCCACCTACTAACAAGAATCTGGTGCCGACGACCACTCGGCCGTCGCCACTTTCCCGCTCCAACACTTCACCCGCCCTGCTCCCTTCTCCCTCCAAGGCTAAGTTTGAGCTCATGGATCCACCTGGCCCGCGACCCACACCTCCCCCACCCGTGTTCGCCGAATCCAGGCGCGCAGAGACGCCTGAAGAACGCTCCCGCTCGCAGATGTCCCAGCAATCGCAAGACATTCCGATCGTCCTCGACGGCGATGTGGCTCGGGGGCGAGATATGGTCCCTAAGCCTTTAGGCTCTCAGCCGGTCACAGCTTCGCAGATACCTAGGAGGGTGCCTGCGCGAGCGGTGGCCGACTCGGCGTCTCAAGTTGATGAGAGGTCTTCGAGCCGCACGAGAGCTGCTCAACGCCTGGAGCAGGGTCGGTTGGCTCGAGAGCGCTCCCGAAGTCGAGAGCAGTCGCAGACGAGGGAACGCTCCAGAACGAGGGAGCGCTCGCAAACCCGACAGGCAGCTCAGGCGCCTCGGACCATTGTGCCCGAGGTAGTTGCTGTATCGCAGCCGGCGCCTCTCAATATTTCCAAGATGACACCGCAACAAATGGCCCAGGAAGCAGCTATTCAAGTAGAGGGTCTAGTGGCGGCGGCTCGTGCCCGAGCTCAATCGCAATCGCGGACCCGGCTCCCTCAGCCCATTCAGACTGGACAAACCCAGACGCAAGCTACGATGCAGCAGCGAGGAGCTGCTTTCAGGCAAGATCAGTCGGCACTTATTCTCGATTCGCCCACGGAGGGCGTTGGTCTCGATGCGCCTCCACCTTCGATGATGACGACGCAGTTGAGGACCGCGCCAGGCGAGCCGGCCTGGCAAATGGTCTCCCCACCATCGACGGGCGTTCCATCCAGCGCCAGCAGCGTCACCAGCTCGTCGCGCATGCGATCGGCGTCGTCGGCGTCGAGCACGTATACTCACCTAACGAAGCCATCGATCGACGAGGCGGACGCAAACCTCAAGAGCGCCGTGGAGATTTCTATCGCGCGGCAAATTAGCATATCGAGGCAGCAGCAGAACTTGCTCCAGCAACCCGGTAGAGCGAGGCCGTGGATGCGGGCAGACGTCACGCCGGTTGGGGTGGGATCTATGGCGAGGAAAGTTCCGGCTTCGGTGGTGAGAGGAACTAATCGGAAGAGTGAGAGGGCCGTGGTTGAGGGTATGTAGTCGAGGGCATATTTTTTGTTCTTTCTCTTCTTTCTTTTATTTTTATTTTTCTTTTATTTTTCTCATGGGCCGGTTCACTTGTGAGTTTCAGGGGCGCTTCATAGGTTAATGAGGGATTGATGAGGATGGATCATAATAGGTTTTATACCCCAATCTTTGTCTCTAGATACATTCTCTGGGAAATACAACATCTCCTTTGTGATGAATAGAGTAGAGGAATCCAGAAAGTGAACATTAGATATGTGAATGAAGAGGATGCAGTCTATCTCCTGAAGTAAGGTTGAGGGTATCACCAGTTGATGACTGGAAGGAATTTGCCTGATGAGCTTGAGGCCTTCATTGACCTGTACTGACTGATAGTAGCTGGGAATTACCTAATACTGTTGCGTCTTGTCGCTGCCAGCATTTGGCAGGGCTGCACAGCCCCAGTATATTAGGGCCAGTCCAGGGCTATCACAGGCTGTTCATGCCTGCCCTCCAGTGATCCGTTGGCATCACCAACCACTGATGATGTGCCTGGAAGCTCTGAAATGCTTTGTCCTATTGCCCTTTTCGGCCAAAGACTCACCTTGAACTACCCAGTCTCAGTAATGAGCCATTATGACACATTCGCCGACAAAATCCAGGATAGAACATCGAAGAGGGCTCATGTTCTGTTCTTTATATTGCATTACATCTCGCCAACAACCTGAAAAGGGATTGAGGAAACTGCAATTGTGTGACTGCTGTTCCCCACTTCACAATCTACACTTGACAGACATGAGGAAGACGAAAACAACATAGATCACGAATTTCATTTTCATTCCACCACACATTTGCATTGGAGTTTCGGTTTCTATTTCTAACCATCCAAAAAAATGGCACCCGCAACACCAGAATTATCAGAGGCGGAGGCCCAATGGAGAGAGAGTTATTCTACCATGAAGGCTGCCCTCTCAAAGCTCAACCTTCCAGCACCAGAAGCGCCGGCCGAGGAAGATGACCTCGTCAGCAGTGACGTCGAAGGGTCCTCGTCGAACGAGCAGGGTCAGGACGTATGGGATTTCATTTCCGAGGATGAGGATGAGTTAGGATATTACTCGAGTGACGAGCTAGATGGGGAACACGCCAACGGAATCGGGGCATCTTCGTCGGCTCCCTACGGCCTCGAGTGGCTTTCGGCTCAGTGCTCGCCCATCGCGTCAAAGAATGGACTGGCGACGGATGTGTTCCAGACCCAAATCTTGGATCTACTAAACTCCGGGCGGTCGGAGGAGGAGTTGCAGTCTAATCTTGCCGACCTCATCGGTTTCGACGACTTTGACTTGATTATTGAGCTGCTCGCTCACAAATCGGAAATCATCACCGCTGCAGCTGCATCGGCCCCGTCTTCCAGGACTCAGACGGGGAACAGGTTACTGTCTAGAGCGGAGAGAGAGGAGGCCTTGCGCCGCCAGGATTTCGAGCACAAGACGAGAGGTCTTGCGGCGGCGCAAGCCAGGGAACCAGAGTATCCGCATGTGTACAAAACCCACAATGTGGGTAGAAGCATGCTGAGCTACACGGGGAAGAAGTACGCACTCCCCCCTGGTAGCGAGAGGCTCGAGTTCGAGAAGTACGAGGAGTACTTTATCCCGGCGGGGAGCAAGGGAACCCTGCGGCCCGGCCAGAAGCTGATTAACATTTCCGATATGGATGGACTATGTCGGAATACTTTCAAGGGGTACAAGACGTTAAACAGGATGCAAAGTCTAGTGTATCCGGTAGCCTACAAGACGAGCGAGAACATGCTGATATGCGCTCCGACTGGTGCTGTGAGTTCCTCAGTCTCTTTCTTCTTCTTTTCCCTATGTTTCCTAACCAGTGACACAGGGTAAAACCGACGCGGCCATGCTTACAATCCTTCAATGTGTTGGGCAATATGTTACGCCCAACCCATCCGAGGACCCCCTAGCAACCGAGTTTATGGTCGATCTCCAAGACTTCAAGATTGTATATGTAGCGCCGATGAAGGCATTGGCTGCAGAAGTCACAGAGAAGTTAGGGAAGCGCCTCGCCTGGCTTGGAATCAAGTGTCGCGAGTACACCGGTGATATGCACCTCACCAAGCCCGAAATCGTCCAGACACAAATCATTGTCACTACCCCCGAGAAATGGGACGTAGTCACGCGAAAGGGAACTGGAGATACCGAACTAGTTCAGAAGGTTAGGCTTCTCATCATCGACGAGGTACATATGTTGCATGACGAGCGAGGTGCCGTCCTCGAATCGCTCGTCGCCCGTACGCAGAGGCAGGTGGAAAGCACACAGTCTCTGATCCGCATCGTCGGTCTCAGTGCCACATTGCCCAACTACGTCGATGTCGCCGACTTTCTCAGAGTAAACAAGCATCAGGGCCTGTTCTACTTTGACGCTTCCTTCCGTCCAGTTCCCCTAGAGCAGCACTTCATCGGCGTTAAGGGTAAGGCAGGATCAAGGCAATCGAGGGACAACCTCGATAATGTTGCCTTTGAGAAGGTCAGGGAGATGCTGCAAAAGGGCCACCAGGTCATGGTCTTTGTTCATTCGAGGAGAGACACTTTCGTGACCGCCAAGATGCTCCAGCAAAAGGCCGTCGATGACATGTGCCTCGACTTGCTTGATCCGACTGGCCATCCAAAGTTCGAGTCGGCCATGAGAGACGTCAAGAGTTCCAAGGCACGGGATATCCGGGAATTGGTACCCCAAGGCCTTGGTGTTCATCATGCTGGCATGGCGAGATCAGACAGGAATCTTATGGAACGTCTATTCGGCGATGGCGTCCTCAAGGTTCTGTGCTGTACTGCCACCCTTGCCTGGGGTGTTAACTTGCCCGCCGCTGCAGTCGTCATCAAAGGAACTCAAGTGTATAGCGCGCAGGATGGCAAGTTTGTCGACTTGGGAATTCTTGACGTGCTCCAGATTTTCGGACGTGCTGGTCGTCCCCAGTTTGAGGACACCGGCATCGGTATGATTTGTACAACACAAGACAGACTCCAGCATTACCTGACCGCAGTGACGGAGCAACGACCTATCGAGTCGAGGTTTTCATCCAAACTCATCGACAACTTGAACGCCGAAATCAGTCTCGGCACGGTCACGACTATTGCTGAGGCAGCAGAGTGGATCGGCTATTCGTATCTTTTTGTTCGAATGCAACGAAGCCCCGAGAACTACAATATTGAATGGGCTGAGAGAAGAGATGATCCAAACCTTGCTCAAAGGCGGCGCTCTATGGCTATCCAGGCTGCTCGAGAGCTGCAACAGTCTCAGATGATCATCTTCAACGAAAGGACCGAGGAGCTTCGAAGCAAAGATATCGGCCGTATTGCAAGTCAATACTACATCCTACACAGCACCATCCAGATCTTTAATACCATGATGCGACCTCAGTCAACTGAGGCCGATATTCTCAAAATTATCAGCTTGAGCGGTGAATTCGACAATATCCAGTTCAGAGAAAGCGAGAGTAACGAGCTGATGAACCTAAAGTCGCGTGAGGATATTGTACCCTGCTCCATCGACACTAGGACCGGCACGGACACCCCTCAAGTGAAGACGAATATCTTGCTTCAAGCCTACATATCCAGGGTTCAGCCGGATGATTTTGCTCTCGGAAATGATTTGAACTACATTGCCCAGCAGTCTGGCCGCATCTGCAGGGCTCTATTCATGATTGCGTTGAACAGAAGATGGGGCCATCAGTGCCTTGTACTCCTTACCATGGCCAAGGCGATAGAGAAGAGGATTTGGCCCTTCCAACACCCGCTCCATCAGTTTGATCTGCCGAAGACAGTTCTGAAGCACTTGGATCAGAAAGAGACCTTGACGATGCAGGATCTCAAGGATATGGAGCCGGCAGAGGTGGGAGAACTGGTTCATAACAAGGGCGCTGGGGCAAAGATTGGTAAACTGCTTAGGAACTTCCCTACCATCCACATCGAGGCCGAGATTGCGCCCCTCAATCGAGATGTTTTGAGAATTAAGCTATATGTGGAGCCTGGATTCAGCTGGAACGATCAGATCCACGGCACGTCCGAGTCGTACTACATCTGGGTCGAGAACTCGGAGACTTCGGAGATCTACCACCACGAATTCTTCATCCTCACGAGGAAGAAGCTTCACGATGAGCATGAACTGAACTTCACCATACCCTTGTCCGACCCGCTTCCTACTCAGATCTACGTCCGTGCCGTCTCCGACCGCTGGCTCGGCGCCGAGAGCGTGACACCCGTCTCCTTCCAGCACCTGATCCGGCCCGATACGGAAAGCGTTTACACGGATCTTCTAAACCTGCGCCCGCTACCCATCTCGGCGCTCAAGAATCCTCTGCTGGAGGAAATCTACGCCAAGAGATTCCAGTTCTTCAACCCCATGCAGACGCAGATCTTCCACACCCTCTACCATACGCCGGCCAACGTTCTTCTCGGCTCCCCCACCGGTAGTGGCAAGACTGTAGCTGCTGAGCTTGCCATGTGGTGGGCGTTCAAGGAGAAGCCGGGTTCCAAGGTTGTGTACATTGCCCCGATGAAGGCGCTCGTTCGTGAGCGTGTCAAGGATTGGGGCGAGCGGTTGGCGAAGCCTTTGGGGATGAAGATTGTTGAGTTGACGGGTGATAACACGCCGGACACGAGAACTATCCAGGATGCTGATGTTATCATTACGACTCCTGAGAAGTGGGATGGTATCTCGCGTAGTTGGCAGACGAGAGGCTATGTCAGGAAAGTGAGTCTGGTTATTATTGACGAGATTCATTTGCTTGCCGGAGACCGAGGCCCGATTCTTGAAATCATTGTCTCTCGTGAGTACTTTCTTCTTTTCTTCTTCTTTTTTTTTCCCCTGAGATTTTATCATCTTTGCAGCTAATGAGAAGTCATCAGGAATGAATTACATCGCCGAGTCTACCAACAACCCCGTGCGGCTGCTGGGAATGTCCACAGCCTGCGCGAACGCCACTGATCTCGGAAATTGGCTTGGCGTCAAGGAAGGCTTGTTCAACTTTAGACATTCGGTTCGACCTGTGCCTCTCGAGCTGTATATTGATGGATTCCCTGAAGTGCGCGGCTTCTGCCCTCTGATGCAGTCCATGAACCGACCGACGTTCCTTGCCATCAAGAACCACAGCCCGGACAAACCAGTGATTGTATTTGTTCCTTCTCGACGACAGACGCGCCTGACTGCCAAGGATCTCGTCAACTTCTGTGGTATGGAGGACAATCCTAGAAGGTTCCTCAACATGGATGAGGATGATCTCCAGCTGAACCTGGCCAGAGTCAAGGATGATGCTCTCAAGGAAGCCATTTCTTTCGGAATTGGTCTCCATCACGCTGGTCTTGTTGAGACAGACCGACAACTCTCAGAAGAGCTCTTCCTGAACAACAAGATTCAGATCCTCGTGGCCACGAGCACACTCGCATGGGGTGTCAACCTTCCGGCCCACTTGGTCATCGTAAAGGGAACCCAATTCTACGATGCCAAGATTGAGGGTTACAAGGACATGGACTTGACCGATGTCCTTCAGATGCTTGGTCGTGCTGGACGACCGCAATTCGACAACTCTGGTGTTGCACGCATCTTTACCCAGGATTCCAAGAAGGACTTTTACAAGCACTTCCTGCATACCGGTTTCCCCGTCGAGTCGTCCCTGCACGCCGTTCTCGACGACCATCTTTGCGCCGAGATATCGGCCGAGACCATCGTCACAAAGCAAGACGCGCTGGACTACCTCACGTGGACCTTCTTCTTCCGCAGGCTGCACAAGAACCCGTCGTACTACGGGCTCGAAATCTCGGCGGAAGAGCACAACACGATCGAAGCGCAGAAGCTCGCCAACGAGTTCATGATCCACATGGTCGACTCCTCCCTCGGCGAGCTGCAAAAGTCTTCCTGCATCGACGTCCAAGGTAACGGCAACGTCGACCCCACGCCGCTCGGCAAGATTATGTCGTACTACTACCTCTCCCACAAGACGATCCGGTACCTCGCGCGGCACGCGAAGCCGGGGGCGTCCTTCTCCGACGTTCTCACTTGGATGTCGCGCGCTACCGAGTACGACGAGCTCCCCGTGCGCCACAACGAAGACCTCATCAACGCCGAGCTGTCGAGGAACCTACCCTTCGAGGGCACCTCGTTCGGCCTGCCCATGTGGGATCCCCACGTCAAGGCGTTTTTGCTCCTGCAGGCGTACATGTCGCGCATTGCGCTGCCCATCACGGATTACGTCGGTGATCAGACGAGCGTGCTCGATCAGTCTATCCGTATCGTGCAGGCGGCTATCGACGTTCTCACGGAGATGGGGTACCTGTCTAGCTGCCTCGCCATGATTCAGCTCTTGCAGTGCATCAAGTCGGCGCGGTGGCCCGCCGACCCTCCGGCTTCCGTCCTCCCCGGCGTGCCGGAGGATACTAAGGATAAAACGACCCTGAAGAACATCGCTGCCGGTTCCGCCAAATCCGTCAGGCAACTGGCCACGCGGCTCTCCGTCCCCGACAGGTTCTACGACCGCTTCGCGAAAGCGGTGGCGAGGTTGCCGGACGTAAAAGTTTCAGTCGAGGGCGAGCCGACGACGTCGGGCGTCAGGATCCAGTTAAAGAGGGTCAACCCCCTCCTTGATAGGGAGGGCAGGGTATTCGCCCCACGGTACCCCAAGCCGCAGGTGGAGGGGTGGTTCGTCGTGTTGGCGGATAGGGAGAAGGATGAGGTCCTTGCCGTGAAGAGGGTGGGATGGCCCTCGACGGGAGCGTCTTCTTCTTCTGGCGCAAGGAGAGGAGGTGGTGGTGAAAGGGTTAGGGGTGGTGGTGACAGGGCTAGGGGTGGTAGCGATGGGGTTAGGGGTGGTAGGGGTAGAGGCGGTAGGAACGACGGCGGTGGCGGTAGAGCGGGTGGAGGGGGGGCCGGTCCGGTCGCCAAGGTGACGATGAAGCTTCGGCCCGAGGACGCGGGCAGGAAGATTGATGTGCTGGTTGTTAGCGATGCGTATATCGGGCTTGAGTATAAGATCGAGGGCGTTGAGATCCCCGCGGCGCCGAAGCCCGGTGATGGTCCGGATAAGAAGGGGCACTAAATCGGACGGAGGTTCTTTGCTTCAACTCTTTTTGCAATCGAGTTTAAGGATATGAGTTCCTATGAAACCTGGCATCATAGATTTCTAAACATCCTAAGAGTACACTCCCCCAAATGTCAACCCATCCATCCATCCAGATTCCCAGCAAGGTGGACAACCATGAGCCACACCTCTTTCAGAAAAAGGAGATTCCCAGAGTTTCTTCCAAAATAGCTGGTAGTATACAGTGCACACACCCCCCAAAAAAGACAATTACCTATTCCCTGACAATGATGATGCCCATATGGAACCAAAAGGACGAGAAACAAAAAAAGACAGCGCCATTCATGGAGACTGAGAAAAAAGAAAAGGGGAAAAGCCTATGAAAAATGAACTGTCCTGAATCCTGATATTGAAAAACCCCTGCGCTGTTCGCATGTAAACCAAACCGTAACAGACCTATGAACCAAAGAACGAATAACCAACAACGCGAGAAAGGAGATGATGTACCGAAAACCCCATGTTCCGTAGACCCAGCCGTGATGAATGCTGAAAACAGAGAGAAAAAAAATGAAAAAGAAAAAAAGGAGGGAATGTTGATTGTGTGGATAAAAGAGGAAACACGAGAGCTTGTCTTCCGATTCGAGGGTTTTGTTGCCGTGAATCCGGATTGGCGAGTAATTACTTCGTAGAAGGTCGTCCTTCGACGGGGTTCGAATCTCGGTGCAAAGTATCCCGAGCGAAGAAACAAGGGCAGAGGCCCTCGCTCGCCCTCCACCGATAGTAACCACCATACTTTAGCAACACTTCTTCCTCGCCCTCATATCACGCCCATCCATCTGCTGCTGCTGCGCCTGCTCACTCGACTGCCCATCCTGATCCACCGAAACAACTGGCGAAAACGAAGGAGGGAACAACCAGCTCCTCCGATCCCTGCCGACCCTAAAGCTCGTGCGCGGGTTCAAAGACTCAAAGTACCCGCCGTCCATGCCGGCCTCGTAACCGGGGGATCCAGGGACAGCGGTGGCCGTGAGCAAAGCCTGCTGCATCTTCTTGTTCTGCTCGACGAGCTTCCGCGTGACGACGCGGAACACCTCTTCGACGCCCTCGCCGCTCTCGGCACTGATCTCGTGGCATGCGTCCCAGCCGACTTCCTGGCCCCAGAACCCCGAGCTGCGCTTAGAACTCGGGCTACGAGGCTCGCCGGCAGCAGCGCCGGGGGTCGTCAGAGTGCTATGTTGGCGCGAAGCATTTGCATCGGAGGTTGGGAGGAGGAAAGGCGCGAGACCGGAGGCGGAAGGGGGTGGCGTGGAGCCGAGGCCGGGGGCGAGGTTCTCGGCTACGTAGGCGATGCAGCGCTCGAAGGGGACTTCGCGCTTGGAGGGGTCGCGGGCGACGATGTCGGCTTTGGTGCCGACGACGTGGAGGACGACGTCTCCCGGGAGGTTCTGGCGCAGTTCGCTGAGCCAGATGCCCATTTCAGCGAAGGATTGGGCGTCGGTTATGGAGTAGCAGAGGATGCAGGCGTTGGCGCCGCGGTAGTAGAGTCGTGATATGGAGCGGAATCGTTCTTGGCCGGCTGGAGAGAGAAGGTGGAGGTTAGCGCCAATTTTTTTTTTGTCAAATCTTGTCTCCTTCAATTCATACCAGTATCCCAGATCTGGAGACGGACGACGGTGTCGCTATCGGCGTCGACCACCCTCTTGGTCATAAAACTAGCACCAACGGTCGAGGTTGTCTGAGCCGGATTGAACTCGCCCTTGCAGTAGCGCATGACGAGAGACGTCTTCCCGACGCCTTGAGCGCCGAGGACGACGATCTTGGCCTCGAGGGACGGCATGGTGTTGTCGACGGGCCGGGCGTCGTGGCCAGAATGGGAGTGGAGGTTCTGTTCGAATATGTGTGTGATGTGATGTCAAGTACGTTTCGACGGCAGAGTTTTAACGTCGGGCGGGTGAATCGAGTCGACGGAGCTTTCTGGACGCGTTGGTTAGGGTGCAGTTGCGGGATCGGATGAGTGCGAGGTCGAGTGTAACGTATTGATATTGATGGATGAATCGAGGATGGCGGGGTAGACAAGGCGACACTAGACGAGACGAGACTAGACTCACACGCGATAGTGCGCGTGGATGGTGACTGACTTTGAAGCCACCGCCCGCGTAGTGTAGCCTGAGGCCTAGTGTTTAGTGGTGATATCAATAACCTCGGACGTTGATGGCCGTTGAAAGGGAATGGAAAAGGGTGTGTGTGTGGCCTTGTTGTAAATATATGATGATTTAGTAGAGCTTGGTAAACAGAGCCTTCGAGACTCGACTCGAGACGCGGCCTCGCCTCGCGCTCCTTCCCTTTTTTTTTCGTCCTTTTTTATGCCAGTGGTGGAGCCTAGCAAGGCCTCGACCAGGGCAACGGGGAAACGAAGCTCCAATATCCGCAGAGCTGGCGTAACACAACTGGAGGAAGAGGAGGAGGAGGAGTTAGGGACAGCGGGGTCGGTGGGCGAACGAGAAAATAGTGAAATATTTCTGAGGTAGCACAGGCACAGACTCTCCGGCCAGGCCAGGCCAGGCTGCGTGTGTGGGTGAGTGTCTGTGTGGGTGTGTTCACGTCAATTGTGGGAGTGTCAAATCCATGTCTGGAAGTCTGGAACTCGGCCCTCAGTCAAAGTGTGGGGAAATCTGAAATCTCCAGTGACCCTGAAATGATCCCAGACAAATCGAGGCTGCATCAACCATCAACCGGAGCTGATCTGAAACCAGGTTGAAGAAAAGGAAAGTGATGCAAAGTACTTCGTATATCGAGGATGAATAAAACTACAGGGAAAAGAAGAAAAAAAAAAGAATAGAATGTCCAACCGAAATTCTAGAAGAGAAAGAAAAAGGCTGCCACACTGTTGTGGGGATCAATTCACTGAATGGTTCAAGTCAAAAGATTTCAAGGTCACAAGACGAGGTCGGTCGGCGAGTGTTTCGGCTGAGGCTGGCGAGAGAATGTACGGAGTAACGATGTAGATGTCGATGCTGCATGCATCTGCAGCAGAGCAGGAATAGAGTAAAAGAGTTCAATGTTACTTGGTTTCTTTGTCTTCCCATTCGCGCCCGGTGATGTCAGAAGGGGTCCATGAGACGCAAGATTGATCAATCAGATCAATTTGATCCCAGACCGAGCGTTGAAGCCAAGCCTCGCAGCCGACCAGTAAGACTGATAAACTACTTCTTACAAGCAGGTCGATGGACTGAGAGCAGATCGATCTGCGCTGCCAGGCTCTGCGCTCGGGGTCCCCCTCGGCCGGCAGAGCACACCTAGCGAATCGGCACTTTTGAGCCTAGAAGATGGGAGCTTCAGGCGGTGCAAGATGACGTCGCCCTTTGCTGGGTCTGGCCTTGCCTGGCTCCGGCCAGCGTCCAGTGTTAAGGGCCTCGATGGCCCGGCTTGGCTGACCACGATATCTTTAGACTCCGATCCCGCCTCTCTCACCGCCATGGTCGACTTTGTCCTCGCTAGTCCGCCTGCTCAATTCCATTTCCAGTATTCGACATTCGACCTCCTACTCGTATCTCCCCAACTAGATCCTACTGTACGCACCCGATGACTCCTTGGACACTTTCATCCGCCTGATCAGCGAACGCCGCGACTAGATATCCATCGCAGAATACTTCGTAAAGCCCTCTCCTAGATCCCGAGGAATTGAAAGCAATATCCAGCCTCCCATTTCCATCCTGCCTCGTCCCGTAGTTTGGGGTTCTAACAGAGCCGTATATTCACTTGCATATGCTACCGCAGCCGACATAATTCCCTCGCCCATATTGACACGGAGAAATCTACCTCAAATCTAGAAAAAAGCGAAAAAGGAAAGCCTGCGAAAAAAAGAGAAAAGGAAAAATAAACAAAATTGAAAATGAAAAAAAGAAATGAAATGAAAAAATATGTCCTCCACTCTCTCCAGCTCAAAGCTTCGCCTTCACCACCCTCTGCGCAGGAGTCACCAACCGATCATAAACATCCTTCGACAACACATCCGTCGGCACCCCATTCCCATGACTCGTCAAGCTCCGAACGTCCAAAAGCGACGGGCTCAGCTCACTCACGCTATTGCATCCAATCAACCGCATGTTCATCTCCAACTCGTCCCTCAAAAGCGCCATGGCCCTATCGACGCCATCGAACCCGTACGACGACATAGCGTACAGGAACGGCCTGCCGATACCGACGCCCTTGGCACCGAGACACAACGCCTTGATGATATCCGTGCCGCGCCTGACGCCTCCGTCGATGTAAATCTCAATCTTGTCCTCGAGCCCGAGCTGCTTCAGCACCGGCATCGTCTCGGCCAGCACCTCGACGGCCGAGCGAGAAAACTCGAGCTGCCTACCGCCGTGGTTCGAGAGGACCACACCCTGCACACCCGCCTCGATGGCCTTGATGACGTCCTCGACGCGCTGCACGCCCTTGAGCAGGATCGGCATCTTCGTGATGCTCTGGAACCAAGGGATATCCTTCCACGATAGCGCCGGGTCGATGAACGACGAGATTGCCCGCGCGGCTCCTTGTTCCCTGTTCGTCTCCTGTCCGCTCTGCACGTCGGTGCCTTCATCCGTGAACTTGACCCTCATGTCCTTCTCGCGACGGCCCAGCTGCGGCGCGTCGACGGTGATGAAGAGGGCCTTGCACCCGCGCTGCTCGGCATGCTGCACGATGCGCTTCGTGATCTCGCGGTCTTTGTTCACGTAGAGCTGGAGCCACGTCACCTGGTCGCCCGACGTGGCGTCCATGATCTCGTCGAAGGCGCACGAGGCGAGCGTGGGGATCATCTGGATGACGTTGTGCTTCTTGGAGGCTCGCGTTAAGACAACTTCGCCCTCGGGGTGGCCGAGCTTGCCGAGGGCCGTGGCAGTGACGTAGAAGGGCATGTCGACCTTGGTGCCGAGGAAGGTTGTGCTGAAGTCGACCTTTTCGACGTCGACGAGGATCTTGGGCCGGAACCATATCCTCTGGAAAGCCGCATGGTTCTCTCGGAGGGTCTAATAAGGGAGGGGATATCAGTATTTGCAGCCAAGGAAAACGAATTGTAAGAACGAGGGCGAGGGTAGAGTGGGGACACATACAATCTCGTCATCGGCAGCACTAGAATAGTACGCCCACGCCGACTTCTTCATAACCCTCTTCGCAACGGCCTCGAAATCAAGCAAATTGTAGCACTGCGACAACGACGGCTTGAGCTCTATCATCTGTTTCCTCGCCTTCTCCTCGTCGGTCTCCTCCTTGACCTCCACCTCGACGGTGGACATGTCGACGGGGCCGAGGTGCTTCGACTGGTCAAGGAACTTGTCGAGGGTGTCCGGGGGGTGAATAGGGTCGAATTCTTCCGTCGCATCTTTACCCTGTTATCTCCAGTCGTGAGTTGTTAGTCTGCGAGATCCGGCTGAGGCGAGGCTTCGGTAAGGTGGGGGATGGTGAGGGAAAGCGGTGAGGGAAAGCGGAGAGGGGTTCGGGTTTGGTTACTAACAGCGTATTTGAGGATAATCTTCATACCACCGGGATGTTCTGCGATTTTTCTCCATGTTAGCCATCTGTAGTATTGGAGAGCCCGTTCCCCCCCCTTTCCTTTTGTCTTGATCTTTCCCTGCGGGGGGCAAACCCAAGGACATAGAGACCTTCGTCAAGAGAGCGAGAGCCTTGGGTCGGGGACAAGGGCGGTCGCGTGTGTTCTCGTACCTGGGAGGAACTCGGTGACATCGTATGCCTTGCCGTGGACAATGACCCAGCACGACTCGGCAGAGTTGTGCTTGGCAACGTCGTCCCCAGTTAACGTCATTTTTGGTTTCTTCTGTTTGTCTGCTTTTCTTGTGATATCGTAGATAGCTTCTTTGCCGTTTCCAAGCTCTGGACGGTGTTTGCGGAGTGTAAAGGGTCTGGGTATGGAGTTGAGGGGATCTGCCGGATTACGAATTGATTGTTGATCTCGTTGGTATTGGTCCAAGTCCAAGTCTTGGTGTGAGGGGGTGGATCAACGATGCTTGGTGCTAGTTTGGTGTATTTTCGTAGCTCTGGGGGAAGTTCTTAGTGCTTCGGGATAATGGAACATTGAACACCGGGCGGAAACGTCAATGATTTGCTTGTAAAAGAAGGGGACGCCCCTGCTATTTAAATGCAATCCGGTCCTCTCCAGAATAGTGTAGCAATGTAGCAACCCAAGACAAGCAGATGCAAAAAAAAGCTACACCCGCAATAAAATCACGAACAGGAAATAATAATCAAAAATCAATCCATAAAAAATTGGCCACAGTAATCGTTTTCCCCCCCTAAAGATAGAAAAAAAACCTGCCCAGCTCGTACGAGAACCACGCCCGAAGACAGGCAATGAGGCTTAGAAATAAGACCACCCGCCTCGAGCTGCCCCCCAAAATCCCAAAGCTCAAAGGACCTCGTAATTGCCAGGGGGGCGTTGCTCAGCGGGAGAAAAAGGAGCACAGGGGGAGCACGAGGTGGTCGTTGCTCCTAGCCGGGCCAACCAATTGCTCGGGGTCCTTGGGCTACGTTGCTCGCCCTGTCGGTCTTCATTTGTCCCGTGGTCGGCACATGCCTGGTCTGGAGACCTCGACGCTGGTGGGCAGGGCTTGGCTGCTTTGGCTTCTTTTGGCTGGGATCCCTAGCAACCTCAATCTTGGGATCTATTGATCTCATCAGATTCGGGCTCGTCCCCGGTTTTTTGGCGCGGCTCGCTACGTCCAGTGGGGCTCGATGGTAATGGGGGTGACCTGAGTGGTCGAACTATGCCCCTGACGCACTTCGTCACGGGTGTTGCCAGCAATTTGAACAAACCCGCCCGCGTGCGTACTAGGCTCGGGCTCGGGGGCTTCCCGGCACAAGCCAGCATGGTCTGGTTCGGTCAAACGTGCTCCCGAAGCTTGATTAACTTGACTTGTACTTCGTACAAGTTATGAAAGTGCTTGGACCGAGGCTGCGAGGCATGACCACCCATCCACTATCCACTACGAAGCATTACCGCTGCTCAACGCGGTACGCGCACTTCTTAGAAGGGCAGATCGCATGCACATCTTCCCCCGAGGTCGGGAGTCGGGGAGGAGAAGAGAAGCCCATAATAACTTCAGCGAGACACAAAACCTCGAAAAAGAAAAAAAAAACTCCAGACGCTAATGATATTCAACTTAAGTAAAGGTGGCTGGCTTTTTCTAGTTATTACCTCCGTTACTACACTCATTGCGCCCCCCCAGAGAACTAGCGCTCGTTGATTCTGCCATCTCTTCGAACAAGAAAGATGCCCATGGCGCCAAGACTCCGTAGAAAATGCTGGGCAATGTTGCATGTAGAATAAGAGATGGCAAAATAAAACTCGAAACCAAAAGCCTATATCATCCATTCATCCATCCACCCATCCATCCTCCCCTTTAAGCTTCGTCTCCCTCTATTCCTCCTTTCCCATCATGTTTGCTACAGCCTACTCCATCTCGTCTCCAGCTAAACCTCTCGTTTCATTTCCACGCGCTGAGTCCCGCCCAAGGATCGTGTGGTTGCTGACCCGCCCCAGCCCCAGCTCCGGGCCCTCCCGGTTGCTGGTTCTGAACCGGGTAGTCTTGGGCTCCGTAATGGATCGTCTGCTGTGGTCCCAGCGGCGGAGGTCCGGGAGGCGGCGGTGGAGGCACGAACCCGAGCGGCAGGCTCTGCGAAGCTGGTCTACCCGGCTGACCTTGCGGCACCTGCTGACTGGGCTGGGCCACGTAACCGACATATCCAGGGAGAGGTTGTCCAAACGATGTCTGCGTCGGCGGCGGAGAGGCCGGCCCCCGCATAGCGGTGTGACCAAATGACGTCTGAGTCGGCGGTGGCGATGTCGGCCCAGGATTCATGCCGTATTGTCTCGGATTATACGCCGCTGGTTGACCGTATGCCCCAACAGATTGGCGCTGCCCCGCATAATTGCCATACGTCGACGGCATGTTCACCTGATGAGGCGGAGGCGATGTCGGCAGCGGGTACTGGCTCGCGTACAACGGGTCCGAGTATCGAGGAGCACTCCCTTGCGCGAACAGAGGAGCCGGAGGCGCTCGTCGAGCCTCTTGCGGTTGCGGTTGCGGCGATCCCCCTTGAGGCTTGACCGACATACGATCCATCAGCTCCCGAAGCCTTTCCCGCTCGAGCTCGGCCTGGGACGACTGGTTCGCCGTCCTGTCCTTCTCGATCTGCGTGAGGAGCGCCGCGCCCTCCGATCGCCGGTTATTCACAAACGACTGCACGTTCTTGTCGAGGCTATCGATCGTCTCCTTCATCTCCGAGTACCAGTTCTTGGCGCTATGTAAACCAGCCACTAGGTCCAAGAATTCCTGGTACGCTCGCTTGTATCGATTGACCACGGCCGCCCTCTGCCGCTGCACGTTTTCGTACTTGCTCTGTTCCGATCTCACCCTCTTGTCCTGTAGCAACGTGTTAAACGTCGACGTGAGCTCCTTCATAAATACGGACTGTTTGTGGTTTGCCGCCAGCAGGCGGTTCTGGTGCGGCCGGAACTTTTCCAGCTCTGACTGGAAGAGCTGCGTCTCGTAGTTTTGAATCGACTTTTTGTTGAGGATCAGGATCTGAGAAATGTCATCGTTGTGCACCTATCATTTGAAATTTGTCAGTCGAAATGGCATGGGTTAATACGGGCGTTCAGGGCCAGCGTGGTGAGAAAAAAGAAAAAAAAAAAAAAAAAAAAGTCTCTATAAAGCCCCTTCTTCCAACATTTACTTACCTTCTCCTTGAGGTCCTTAAGCACTTGGTTACGTTCTCGTTTGAGTTGGTCGAGCTTCTTCAAGATCTGCTCAACCTTAGAAATCTGGTCCATGACACTCGGTCGACCATCATCAAAGTCGGCATCCAGCAAATTCGGCTCGTCCAGAGGGCTACCATTGTTGCTCGATCTCCCCCGAACCTTGTTCAACGATCGCTGGAACAGCTGATCAACTTCGTTACGTTCCGACGCAGCCCGCATCTCGTCAAAGTCGACCTCATTTTGTCTCAGCTTCGCCGCGAGCTGGGAGTCCGTCCGCGACGCCTCGTCCAACGCCTCTCGGTAGCTCCGGATATCTCCCCTCAGGGTCGTCGTGAGCGCCGAGCTCGGCTGCTGCGTCCATTCCCCCTCATACTTGGAGCGCATCTTTTCGCACACGCTCTCTTCCATGTCGAGCTCCTTTTTGCAGCTTTCCAGAGCCCTGAAAAGCGCCAGCTTTTGGGCTTCCAAGGAGTCTAAAATCACAGACGGATTTTCTTGTCCGGCGACGTCCTCGCACCAAGTCTTGAACTCGTCATCCGGGCCAACGTCCTGGTCAAGCCCACCCTTGAGAACTTGAAGGGCGCCAGGTAAGCGAAGATAGTCCAGGCTAGCGGCCATCTCGCCGTTCGCGGTGTCAACCCTCTCCGTCTCGGCTCTCACCAACTTGGCTTTTTCTTCGTCATAGAGACTAGCCGACTCAGTGACATTCATAGGCACGATTTTGGAGAAGAGGTCCGGTCCCGTTATCCGCTGGATATCCTGGCCGGCATAGAGCTCAGTGACGGGAATTGGCTTGGCTGCCGACAGCTTGGGTACAGGCGAAAGTCCAGATTCGGATGGGACAGGCTGGTGATAGATAAAGTCGTTGTCTTTGGTCAATTCCTGCAGCTTCTCATTGATCGCCGTGTGCTGTCGCTTTGTGTTTTCCGCAAGGATGAGGCTGCAATCGCTGGGGAGGTTGGAGCTCGGGGGTACCGACGTAGGGATCGTGTTGGCTATCCGATTGGCTTCTCTGGCAAGACGCTCAGCAGCCTGGAGACGCCCAACTGCAATCCCGTGGTTATTGGCGTCATCGTCGGCTTGAGCTTGGAAGAATTGGGCCATCGATCCCATCAAGTTCGCTTTAACCTGCATTATCACGGAGACGAAGTCAGCTACTACTTTTTGTCATTGCGAAACGATCAATGGCACGGCACTACACACCTGAACGACCTGCAGCCAAACTTTCTCGAATATACCCTTGTTGACATTCTCCTGGGCGCCTTCCAAAGCCTCGTTATATAGATAGGCGGCTTGGCTGGAAAGCTTAGCAAGGAGACCGACTTTCTTCTGGTCCATTACCTGCCTCTCGAGGAACACTTCTGTTGCCTGGGCAAGCATGATCTGAATGAGGGTCTTGACGGTATCACGGCTTAGGTCGGAGGAAGGGGCATGAAGAAAGTTTTCGTTGATATACGTGAACATCCCCGCGGAGGCCTGGAAGGAATGGTACGCCATCTTCAACCCAGACTCTTCCGACCGGTTCTGGATTGCGGCATGGCAAGAGAGGACGGCAGAGATGTTGAAAATAATTGAAGCCTTTTCGAAGGCCAGCGAGTATTGCGACGTCGCTTTGTGTGTGAAGGCATCAAACCTAGAAGACACGCGGGTAGTTAGAAATAGATAGCTACCAAGGCGTGAAAGAACCAGGCCTTGGGGAGGGAAAGAGCCAAAGACTCACCACGTAAAAGATATCTTAATATGCTTCTCGTCGATGGGGAACCGCAGGTCGAGGAGCTCGAGCTGGCCGTAATACCTGTACAACATATCGCGACCGGTTGTGCTGTCCTTGCCAGCCCCCCTCATGTCTTGCCGTAAACGATTGAGAGTCGCGCACTCCTCTGCATACCGTTCGGGATCATCGCCGTAAGTGTTTTGGATGTAGTTCTTCAACGGCGCGACCCAGTCGATTTCGTTGGTAGCCTTGAGAGGCACCGAGAGCATTACTGATTGAGGCATCTTCTTCGAAAGTGATTAGGTGGGGCTGCCGGCCGGGGAGGGGAGGTTCGAGGATGGGTGTCTGATGTCAGATCAGAGCCCTATAGGTAGGCAAGATTGCGGTGGCGGTCGGGTCGCATACGGGCCTCGGGTTCCGGCGGTCAGGTGCAGAAAAGATGGTGACGCTTGAAGATCAGGCCAGGCAGGAGATGGATTTGATGGGATGTCGAGGAGGAGGAGGGGGAGGAGCGGTCGCTGACAGGATTCCCGAGGGGGTAAAGTTACGCAGATATGCTCAATAGAAAGGTCCCATACGTGGCCTGAGATAATAAGAGGTCGGATAAAGACGCGGTCACACAATAAAGAAGCTTTGCTCGGTTAGCGAGGCCAAGTTGGGGGGTTGTTGTGGTGCTTATTGTTGCCAGGTGCAGGTGGGACGGGAGAGGTCTTGGTGGGTATCAAATGCTAAGCGGGGTCTTGTCAGCTCTCCAGTGGTGCTTCAAATCGAATTACGCTGATGAGAGAGTGGCTTGTGAGACAGCGCCAGCAAGGGTACGGGAGAAAGGGGGGGGGGGGGGGGGGGAGATACATTCGATCTACGAACCACTCCTCTAAGACCTTGAGCAGTGAGGGGTATGTATTATTGATGTTTGGTTCTGTGTTGGCGGCGGCTAGGCTCCAACCTCAACCAAATCCTTTGATGGTCTCGATTTTACCCCTTTGTCTTTGTATTGGGTATGTAATAAAGAACAAAGCTTCATCACATCGAGATTTTTCTTTTTTTTTTTTTTTTTTTTTTTTTTTTTTGCGTCGTGATATCATCGACCCAGCCGGGTGCTTCCTTTCCTTTTTTTTCTTCAACTGCGGGATGATCCAACCGCTATGGTCTACCGAAGCGCCTAGGATCCCAGACGACAGGATCGTGGATGGTCAGAACGCTCCGGGAGTGTTTGCGTGCTGTGATAAAAGGTGCATGCAGGCAAACTACCCGCCAGAATTAGCCGCCCGGCGGGTGTGGCGACGTGGACTGATGTCCAACCAACACTCTCTGAGACTCTCGAGGTTTTGGTGGGGGCTGAGCACGAGAAATCAGCACTTCTTATTGATTGTGGGCTGTGTTGGGCTGCCAATGCTTGACGTCAAGAGCTCACCGCTGCGGCGGCGGTGCCACTGGTCTTGTGTACTGGTGCGGTGGTATTGGTGCCCTTTGTAAACTTACTATTAGCGTGCATTGCAAAGTGCGAAGCACCCGAGTGGATGAGGGGTTCCAAGCTTGCAATTGTATTGGTGCGTTGTGGGCAGAATTGCCCCACCTTGAACATTCTTGTCTCAACCTAGAGGGGCAGGCGATGACAGTGACCTGGAAAGTGTTTAGAGTGTATAAAGGCCCACAGGTACGGCTTCATATATCAAGTCAACTGGCAGCAAGCCTGCCTTGCTTGGACATGCGGTCACCTTGTAAGGCACGAACCGAACCTAAGATTCTGGTCTGGAAGGCTAGCCGAGGTGGAAGGAATTACGATTTCGAACGACAGCGCGAGTGATTGGGGAAAGCCGGCGACTCTGCGCAGTACATAACTTTCGGCACCGCCTCGTGCTTCTTCAGTCATATGAGGAGTATATTCTAGAAGAGAGTGTGAGTGACGTTACTTTCGTACCGATATACCGCCTTGCTCTTCTCTCACGAGAACCAACCTACGTTTTGAATTTAACTCTATTCTTTTTGGGGGAGTGCCTTTCTTTCCTCTAACGTACAGCAATGTTGAGAGTAGGGTAATGACTCCAGAGGTCACACATTTACTTGAGCCTCCGAGAAACATCTAAATATGTTGTACAGAGAGTGTTATACAAAAAAGTTATGGGGAAAAAAAGGGCAAAGTGCCATGCAAATAGGAGGGGAAAAGTATGCCAGAGCAAGCAGCATCGTGGCAACTCAAAAGCTCTGATGATGATGGCAGTAACATCCTTCTAAAAACGCCGCGTCGAAAAAAGAGAAGCAAATATAAACAAGTCCCACCTCTCCTTCCATTAACACCTTCTATGCTTTTTTAGCCAAGTGGCTGTACAGGTTAGGCTTTTCGAAAATGTATGCTGCACATTGTAATTAATCCGATCTAGAGTGTCGGTCCGCGTCTGGTTGGGAGAAGGGAGATATCTCCTCACGCAGACCCGGATCCGGATTCTTTCTTCTGGTTATTTTCTTCCTTGGGAGGCGTCGACGACGAATCCTTGTTGTCGCTGTCAGGCTTGTTCTCGGAGTCAGAAGGTTGCTTCTGGTGGGCCGGGTGATTCGTCAAGGTATGCCAAATGGACTTCATCCATCCTTCGTTCTTGTGCGCCGCAGGGTCATCGGAGATCCTATATGTTTCAGTGAGCAATCATATACACCACGGCTCAGTCTCTCAGAGGTGGGGGGAGATTAATTACTTTGACGAGACGTTCATGATCCGCTTTGCCGTTTTGTCGCTCATCTCGTCCGCGAGCATCTCCGCCAAGACACGCTGGTTCCCGGACAGGTACTTAGGCATGTTGACCTTGTATTCAACCTTCAGGTCGCCGTATCCACCCCTTCCGCTCAACTTCTTCATGCCCATACCCGACAACGTTATTCTGTCTCCCGTGTTCGTACCCGTAGCGACCTTGACGTGGACCTCACCCGTGAGAGTGGGAATGGCAACTTCACCACCGAGAATCGCGGTGGTCAGAGGAATCGTTGCTGTGTAAAGAATGTCCGAGCCGGCTCGGCGGAACTTAGGATCGGAAGCAACCCTGATGAAGACGTATAGGTCACCTCGCTTAGCCCGGACCTCCCCATCCGCCACCTGGCCAGTCGGAGGTGCATCACCGGCACCATCAATTCTGAGGCGCATGCCATCCTCCACACCCGCGGGGATATCAACGTTGATCGTCTGCCTCTGCCTCACAACACCATCTCCAGAGCACGTCCTGCATTCCGATCCTCTGGGTATCGTCGAGCCCGTACCACCACAGGCACCGCAGGTCGACGCCATCTGGAATCCGCCCTGCGCGAAGTGAACCCTTGTGCCGGTCCCTCCACACACCTTGCACGAGGAGCGCTGGGTTCCGACCTTCAAACCATTTCCTGAACATGTGCCACATGTGACATAGGGCGATATCGTAACCTTCTTTCGAGTACCCTGTGCAGCTTCCATGAACGATATATGCGCTTGTACCTCGATGTTATCTCCCACCAGGATCTCCTGGTGGAACGGATTCCGGCCCGATTGACGACCAAATGGGTTGCCCCTAGCCCCTCCGAATGCTGAAAATATGTCCTCGAAGTTGAAACCACCGCCGAAACCAGGGTGGCCGCCAAATCCGGCGAACGGATTAGCTCCTCCGAAGGGATCGCCGCCGGGGCTAGGACCGCCACCGGGATGGAATCCAGCGGCGCCGAACTGGTCGTACTGCTCCTTCTTCTTGGGGTCGGACAAAACTTCGTAGGCGGATTGGATTTCGGCGAAACGATCTTTTGCGGTCGGGTCTTTATTCGTATCTGGATGGAATTTCTTGGCTAGTCCGTAATACGCCTTCTTGATTTCCGAGGCCGAAGCACTCTTTTCGACGCCGAGGACCTTGTAAGGGTCCTTGTTGCTCGAGGACAAGGAGTTGGTTGCATGGAAAGGCTATCAATAATAATTAGCACTACAGAGCTACCGGGGTTCAGATACAAGGCAACTTACTCGTCGGGCAACATGGCTCTTAGACATTGCCGGCCGCGGACGAGGTCGCGCTCCATTATTCGTCGCGAACCTGCGAACTTGACCTCTCTGGCCTATACATTTTCGCACATTCGAAGCCTGGCAAACCTGACCATGGGTCAAGAGACGTCGAGGGAGCGCAGCCTTCGTGATCAAGTTCGAATTCATTGTGATCGGCAGGAATTCATCTGCAGGTAGACGCTGAAGATTGAAGTCAGAGCCTCGGATATTCGACGACGTCGAGCCGAAGATGTACAAAAAATCTTCCAATGCTGTACACTAATCGAGCTTCGCAGAATTTCTGGAAATTTTGTCACGTGAAGACCCACTTCGCTGGTAGCTCGTGGAACCTCCGTGTCAATTCTGGAGAGCCGCGCTTAACCCTCAAAAGCCGGCTAGGAAGCCGGGATATCTCCGTCACCGAAAAATAGATGTGGATGAAGACTCTTGCGAAGAAAACACCATTATCTTCAGATCGCTTAAGGAACCCAGGAGGAGAAATCATTCGGTTAATGGGAGCCAGATTCATGTTATTCCCCTAGTCCTCTCGGTCTTGTGTGAGAGTGCGATCCCGGCTTTCTGCCCGAGCGAACGCTGAGAGCAAGAAAGAGGACGCGATAGATGTGCAGCCATCTTACTCCAGAGCTTGTCCTCGAGCTTGTTCTGTGGGTTTAATAACTTTACCTATACTTACAACAGTGCTCCAGGGGTTGGGTGCGAGTTGTGTTGTCCGCGATGGCACGAAAGCAGCCGCTTTACTGCCTATGTGGATGGTTGTCTTCTGAAACAGAACCCGCATTGCATCTTGTCGTGGGAATCCGTATGCGCGGCGATTTTATTGGAGTATTTGCGACAGCAGCTCTCCTTAACTACATCGTCCAACCCTCGGACAATGAACCCGCCCGCCCAATTGAGAACTGTCCGTCTGGACGCAAGCCCTACAGTCATGGGGCTGTCACCACGGAAGTTGGTCGCACAGACGGCGAATCTTTATAGTCAATTGAGTTCTAGCTCGGCCGAAAACGCTTCGGTAAGTTGCATGCCTCGATGATGCGCTGGATAGAGCCACCTCTACTTCCAAAGAGAGCAGTGTGCCACCAGATCCCCCGCCGATATGTGCGTACCAGAATCATAGTCCCAGGAAACTGGAACGAACAATATGCAAAGTATAAATATGAACCCGAAACACCAATTAGCGCCGCAATTCTGAATATCCAAGTGGCCTATCCTTCCATCCCCAAGCAATGTTCGTACCCATTATGACACTGGTATAATCGTCCCATCCCATCCAGAAAACTGCTCGTAATCATGCCGGCAATCATTCGGTGTCACCGCTCTATTTCGACGAGAGATTGTTCGTCCGGTTTTTGTTTGAGGGCTTTGGGACCCTTGTTATGTACCGAGTGAATGAGGTCAACAATGACATCGTTCTCCTGGACGCCAATGCTATTAAAATGTTTTCGGACAGCAATCGCTAATTGCTCCTTTGTTTGGCGTCTTTGTTTTCTCTTCCTCGCCATCGTTGGAGAGTATAAGCCGATACTGCCGGGTCGAAGCAAGAGGAAGTGGTTGTATGAGGTCCCGAAAGCTAGAGGAGTGTCGAGATTGTATTCGCGTCGGTATGCTTGGAGAGCCTTGCGATCGAACGTCTGAAATTGGACCTGAAGCGAGGACGCGGAAAAGCACATGCCAGTCAGCGAGTCTCTTCCACCCTTAGAAGTGTGAAAGGGTTGCGCGCTCGCGCTTTGACTTACTGCGGGGGGTTCTTGAGTGATCACAGGTGCGGGTGGAGGCACGGCGGCAGCTTGATCGCGGGCGTGGTTTGCCTGACTAGCCCCTCGACGCATCTTGGTGCTAGAATGGGTTCCATTCGAAGCATTACTTTTATCCTTGTCTTTTCCCTCAGACTTGTCTTCGTGGGTGTTCCTCGACTTGGTTGGTGCCATCGTGGGCAGGCTCGGTCGAATGGTAACGAATACTCGCGGTTCGAGGTGTCGTGTGAATTCCCGGAAGAGGTTCCCGGGAAGACGCAGCCAGTTCGAAGCAAGGGAATAATATAAAAAAAGAAGGTGTATGACACTAGAAGGCAAGACTTTAAGGGACTCGGTGGAAAAAATCACATTGTGCAAGGAGGAAGTAGGGTTGTTGGTTCTGGGTCTGCTCGGAGGTGGAAGGGATTGATGGGGGATGGGTCACTTGCACCAAACCAGAGGTACGTGAGTACTTCGTACAATCAATTCCAGGCGTGGAAATTTGTGTTGGTTGTGGGGGGTCGCACTCTCTCCGACGTCACTTTCAGGCACTGGACCCGTTCCTCGTGCTCCACAAGAGTATAACCGTTGCCGTGCTGGGTGGTTGGAGTTAATTAGTGCAGGCAGAGTATTCATCAATTCCGGCTAAACAACGGAAAATCTTCACCGACTCAAGTTCCCTCTGGCATGTGCTCACCGGGAATTCTCCGACATCCCGTTGAGGCTCCGAAGGTCATCGATATCAAGAGCATCGACGCAAGAGGGCATTCTCACAGGTCGAAAAATCGGTCTAGGCGCCATCGTATTGTCCCGCATCTCCTGAGCTATTTCGGAAGGTTCAAGTGCTAATCCTTTCAGCTGGAGATTTTGTCCTGTCTGTGGATGGTCCCAGTCAGGGTCTCCACCAAGAATGTCTCGGCCCCTATCTCTCAGACTGGAAATGCGACTCAGATCTGTCAAGTGTATCGGCACAGAAATCGAGATCGCGCGGCTTTAGGTGATATGGGCGCTAAATTGTGGAATCTTCTTCGAGAATGCCCCGTATCATTTCACCGGCGTAGATCTATTAGACCCGTCAAAAGTCTAACGCCAACGTTATCGTAGCCTTAGGGAAGAAAATAGGGGACAGGAAAAAAAAAAAACTGGCAAACAACCGCGGTTCGAAAAGTTAACCTACTACTGAAAGTCATTTAGGAAAGCAGGACACCGTCAAGCGCCTCAAATGAGTTCATGGATTAAAGGAGTCCCACCCGCAAGAAGATTGTGCGCCTTTGTTAGCCACTCTTCCCCATTCCTTCTCCAACTCGGTTTGACCCGAACGGGTTCCACGCCGCCGCCTTGCACCACGTCGCTAATTCAGTATGGGGAGCAACTGAGCAACTCAACTTAGGCATCCAAGCCGTGTTAGCAACTGGGTTACCGTGAATTTCTTAGCGTCACAGGTTGAGCAGCCGCCGTACGACCGTCAATGTCGTCAATTTCCTCTCAGCCCGTGCCCATACACACAACGGCTCCGGGCCAGTCTGTAGAGCGTTTATATCTCCGCCTCAATCAGCCATCACTATAATTCCTTATATCACTGAGGATGTCATAGATGATGCTCTGGTTCAAACAGGAAGCATAACACGCGCACACTCTCGCCCCCTCAAAGGAGAATAGAGTTTCCTAATGTGTGATGCCAGCTCATCCTCGCTTCACATTGATGTGCAAGGGGCGCGTGAGTTCCATGGATCTAGAAACTTAACCCCCGTAGCAATAACCAGATGCTTGTTGATACTCCGCGCAAAGCGCATGCAGAAAGAGGTTAACGTCGGGCAAATTGAGTTAAAGAAGCACAGCTCTTCGAGGAGCTGAGGTAGATTGGACGGTCTAGGCCGTTGATGATGCACGTCATGGCGTATTTCTGAAGTAGTACAGAGTACGAAACACTACTAGGTAGTCATCGTCCCATACGGCGGGTCGTCCGCCCTAAAGGCGGATTTGAGGATGATGTAAACACTGGAGTCTTTCCGGAGCGGCATGATGGAGTTCCGGTCCAACCTAATTTCCGCATCCGAAAGGTTGCTTGCGTTGATGGCGGACTTCATGGTGCCAGAGCCCGGAAGAGGCGCCGTCTTCCAACGTTCAGACCCCAGGCCTATTTCGAGAAAGGGTAGTCCAACGTATGTACACACAGGGATATTATGGAGAGCCGAAGTTAGTTCTTTTCCTTGACACTCGTGGGAGACTGTAAGCGTATGGTGCAGTTTCTGAAACTGACACTTGGGGACTTCTTCTTTGCCTGAATAATACCTACGGATTTCCATCCCCCTAGACTTTCGGGAATGGTGATCGTTCGGTAATTCAACAGATGCCGTTTACAAAGCAGGGACCGGACGAGGGAATCGTAGTGATCCTTGAACATGAAGCCCACACCGCGATCGCGCTGGTAATCTTTTGCTTCCAATGCTGCTTGATGGCATGATTTCCATTCATATAATCAAGCTTCCCCTGTGCAACCACATGGGGTAGCGCACCATTAGGTTCAGGCCGGAGGTCATGGTCGGAGATTGAGCGACCTTCTTACGATAACCATCAGAGAGAAACGAATCCATCGTCTCATGCCCTTGACTTCTGATTTTAGTTTAATATTCTCTTGACCATATTCATCTCGGATTTGGTTACTAACACGGCGAAGCAAAGAAAATAGATTAGCCCAAGAGACCTATCCTCTCCATGACGTGCTCAAGCCTTTGCCATGAACTGACCGAAAAGTGGACAACCACGATTGGTGCCGTGGCTGTTCACCATCAACCACGGCGCCGGGACTTCGTGGTACCATACCTCTGGGCCCGCCAACCGTAGCGCCATACTAATGGTGGTTAGTTCTTCGCTCTAGTCTTCTGACATGTGCTCCCGTGCACTCATCATGAGATTATCTTGGCTCGAGATCGTGTTTTGCACACTCTTCAATGCTTTCGCTTCTAAAGATGAGTTTACGAAGTAAGATGACTTCCTTTTCGAAAGCATCCATCTTCAAAGAGGCACCGATGTCCCTCTGCCCATCTACGATTGGTTACACGGCCCTGTCTGTCCGAGGAAAAAGGCAGGTTCGGCATTGGAATGTGAAGTTCCTCGAAATATGTAAGGCCAACTTCTCTTCGTTAGTCTGGCTGCTAGTCTTGGCGTTCTCGCCAATCAAGACATGATTCCGCGCTGTGGCAAGGATGTGAAGCCCAGAAATCCAATGCACTGCCAGACCATCATATGTTTCTGTTC